AGATTCCCGATGATCAATATGAAGTCCGGGATTGTTTAAAGTAACTTTCTTGATTCACCAAAAATTACCTGCTTCGATTGCAGATTCGATTCTGACAAAAAAAAAATTATTTAATGTAATTTTGTTTTCTTCAAATTATATTTTTGTACATTGCATATACCCTATTTGTAGATGTTTCACAGTCATGAGTGATTAAAGTAATAATCATAACAATGTGGCTCACTAAGCAATAATTGTTTCTTGTACTGTATTTGAAATAGATGAAGTTTTATAACTTGATTTAAATTGAATGTACAAGCAAAAAGGCTTTTTATACGCATGTTCCTGAACGCAATTAACAAAATATTGTATCCGTACTCAGCAAATATGTAAAAAATAATATGAATCTTAGTAGATTTTAGCAACTCTATCAAAATCAACCTTTTTTTTTGATACAATTTTGGATGTTCTTTATGATTTGCACCACATGCAAACATAGTGAAAAACGTACGTACGTACGTAAAAATAACATACCGGTAATTATATTGCTTCCACTTAATCCTTTTTTTTTCATAAAATTTAAAACCAATCAGATAATGATGAAAAGCTAATTTTATTAGGTATTACCGGAACTAAATTATATAGATGTAAGAATGTTTTAATTGTCAAGACGTTTGTACTATTGACGTAATATTAATATACATAAACTATCCTTCGAAATGTAATTTCATTTAATACACCATTCATATTTGAAGAAATATCATTAATGATGTCATGTTATTTATACTCAATAACTGTATCAAGGCTATTCTTTTTACTGATCGCGGATGACAATAAATTTGCAAGCAAATTATCTGTAATAACATCAAATAACATCACAATTACGAACCTACAGTTTAATATTGATTTTGTTACAAAAAATTTACGTTATCTCAAATACATTTCGTTATGATGCAATTACTACAAAAAACTATTAAATAACGATTACTTTTAAAGTGATATAAATAAATGAATTTTCGTATTTTCGTAAATAAAAGTTTTTTTCAAACCACTTTTCAACCCATTTTTCAGGCCATTCACATTAGCTAAGATGCCGAAAGATATTGTTTCTGAAGCTCTCGAGGACCATAATGTCATAAAGGATCTTAATTGTAGATATATGAAAGAGATTAATCCCAGTGAACAGCAAAAGATTGCTAATACTATTGTGAGAGAACGTGTGTATTGTAAAATTTATTACAATGTTTTCTTGAAAATAATCTCTTAGTCTTACTACTTTTTAACGTTCATTAATGAATAGTTGCCGTTCACTCGGCCACTGAGGAAATTTGTGCGTATCCGTTGGTCGAAAAACATCTTCCAGACGGCAAAAAAATTGCCGATAAATCTCGTGAAGAACACTTACAACTCAAAAAAGATTTATATGAACTTGACAAGAAGAAAGTTAATGAAGAAGGATACGATACTCTAATCAAAAAGATTATTGAGGTTCATTGAGAATTATCTACACACAAGTATTTCAAGTATTTCGAAATTTCGACTACTAAATTTTTGGTAAAAATTAGGAATTTGAGGAGCATATTAAAGATGAAGAAAATGACATCTATCCAAAACTTAAAGCTAGTTTGAGCGATAAAATATTAATTGAAGAAGGAGAGAAGTACGAAAAAACTCGAAGCAGGTAATTTTTGGTGAATCAAGAAAGTTACTTTAAACAATCCCGGACTTCATATTGATCATCGGGAATCT